GCGCGACTTCATCGTCTGCTTGAAATTTCCGCGTTTCCGTCGGAATTCCGCGGCCGAGATCGCCGAGTCCTGACCGATGTTACGAAACGAATACGATCGCGCGTTAGACCACAGAGCAGTGTAATCGTGGTGATTCAGCCGCGACATAATCAGCGATCGCGGAGAACGCAAATGCGACAAACCCAGTGCAGCTCGCTCGCTCACTTGCCCGCCCGCTTATGAGGCTCCCTTCTATGTGAGTGAGAATTAAAATCGTAATTATCATAGTAATCGCACGAATCCGATCCCTTATGGCTTGCGAGAGCCTACGCGTTCTATCACAATTCGCCCTAGAAAAAGAAACGAATACGAGTCAGCCGCCCTCTTCTCTTATATACTAAACGCAAAGTGAAATCCCGCCGTCGTCGATCGCAAGGACGATCGCGGCGCGCTCCTCCGCGAGTCGCAATCGCGGGTGGAAGGATGCGCCGACGGAGAGCGACGAGAGTCGCGTTAATTTCCGACCTTGAGCCTCACCGACGCGTAGCAATTCGTCCGAATCAACGTCGCTCGGAAATCCATCATTCTCGTGCGTGAGAATGAAACTGAATGATCGCTGAAGAGGAACAGAGCGAGAACGAGTTCGACTCTCTCTCTCTCTCTCTCTCCCTTCCTCTATTCCTATTGAGATTTGAGCGTAGCAAACGACACGATCCGAGCGGTGTCACTGGAATCTGGCAGCCGAGAAGTCTGCCAACGCAATATCGATCTGTAGCCTGATTTTCTAACTTATAACGACGATGTCACTGATATGACAATGACAATATAACGATAACGGCACGTCGCTAAGAGTTACAGAATCGGCCTACTGATCTATGCAATCCCGAGAAGCCCATTTCAGAATCGATACACTCGACTCTGAGGCCGGTCTCTTCGGGTCCCGCAAAATCGCTCAGACATCTGTCACACCTTTCGGTCGAAAGGACAGCGCTCCCGATGGTGTCGCGAGCTCCCCACGTAAACTCTTCTCATGAAGCCTCTTATGATTCCAACCCGTCTGATCCTGCGGTTCCGCTTGGAGCACGATCGCTGAAGAGTCGCGCGCAGAGTAACTTGCCGCACAGATGGACCGACAGGATCGGACGGGGGTTTTAAGCGAGAAAAATGCACGAATTGCCTCGCCTCGTGTTCGCAAGAAGAGATTTGTCCTACTTTTTTGGCACACGCTTGCGCGCGAAAACGCGCACTCCTTATGGTCTGCCGTGTCGCAGAGACGTCGTTTGTGCGGCTTAAGGTCGCTCGTAGCGTAAATCAAGTCTCGCGAGATAATCTCGTGACGATTCGCAGTGGACACCGTAATACGACACTGTAACGTGGAGTCGGACTCCATATCGTATACTATGAAACTGTAAAGAGAGATCAGTCGATGTAGTCGAGTTAGACGATTTCAGAGAGTTGTATATGATAGATTAACACACACTGCCATGATTCTTTCAGTCAAATTTTTGTGCTCAGAGACTATAATTTGCGTAATCGAGAAAAAATATGTGATACTCGTGACTCTGTAACTGTATAAAAAATAATTAGAGTTAGGAAAATTATTCCTATCATAAATGCTGACAAATTTGTTCAGCGCGTTTTAACGATCCAGCCAAAACTCAGGAATATATGGCAAACTAATTGAATATTTCGGCCAAATTTTCACGTTTCAAGTCTGATTTGCATAATTGAGAGAAATATCTCATATTTGTGATTATAGCTATATAGAAGAATAATTACAGTTAGGGAAATTATTCCTGTGATAAGTGTTAATAAATATACGCAATGTTCAGCGCGTCGACAGAACTCTCGAAGGAGACGTGATTCACGCCGATTCCGAAAGCGACAAACGACGAGTCGGTCCGCGAAAACGCAGGAACTGCTATACTCGTTCTCACTCAGATGATTCGGTCAGATGATTCGGCGAATCGCGCGCGCGCGCACACACGCACTCACGCACGCTCACACAACATGCAGGAGAGACCACCCCCTCGTGTCCTCCACCCTCGATCGTTTTATATCCTACGACAGCACGAACAAATGCTATTGAGTGAGCTACGGTATCGAGTACGCGTTCTAGACCGTTACGATTAATATGTAAATATATTGTCGGATATATCAGAAAGCCAGTATTGTGTCCTCGCTTCGAGCTCTCGAACACGCGAACACGCCGTCTCGTCGTCCGCTCTTGAGACGAGAGAGCGACGTGTTTGCACACTTTCCTAGGTTCGACATCTCGATTCGGTCGAGCCCCACGGTATAATTAAACACGTCGTTAACGCACACACATATACGGCGGAGCGCGCGAATCCCTCGCGATTTATGCGCCGTGTGTACGGCTTTCCTCCCAAGCGCCCGCTATCAAATCGAAACCGTGACTTCGCGAAAGTTCGCAAGTTCATCCAGTCGCTGTTTCGCGCGTGATCGATGCCGGACTCGCCCATAAATTATGCTGCATTAATCTTCGCTGTTACGTGCAACGGATGAGACTGCCTTCACAATGAAGTGCCGCTGTTGGAGACTGAGGTCCGTATTAATAATCATTAATAGTCATTAATAGTCATTAATAGTCATTAATAGTCATTACTTGAAACTTGCTTCAGGTAAGATACTCAGAACTTAATTAGACCTGAGTTTCTCAGCTGAATCGCAATTGCAAGTGTAATGTCGCGTGTGTTATATAATTCAAATAAAAAACTCTAAATTCGAATTTCAGTATTTCACGTAGGAAAAGTTTCAAGTAACGACTATTAATACGAGCCTGAGTACTCGTGCGACTTCACGAATTCACGGCTTCGATGAGCGAGAGACAAGTGCACGCTCAACGATCGTAAACTCTTGGAAGCACGGATTCGTGAGGTATTGGTGACGTTTAAACAATTTTGTGTGCACTGAGAGAAAATGTCTGGCACTTGTAACTGTGCGATTACACGGAGAAGTAATTGATATACAGCGAGAAAGCGAAGTAAAAGTTAATAAATAGACGTGACAAGTAGAGGACAGAACGTGCCGTGAAATTTCTCGCGAATCATTCGCGCTTCAAAGAGTCAACGTGACATTCCCTCTCCTCCCGCGATACAGTCGTAGGCTTACGAAACGCGCGCGTTACCCCTTTTTTACCCCCTCACTTCCCGATAAAGTCGTAAGTGTGATGTGTCTTCGGAAATCCCTAAGCTCGCACGCTCCTCTCATCTCCTCCCACATCTCCCTCTCTCCTCTGTCGACCGTCGTTCGTCAGCGTTCGATACCTTCGTCTTTTACCTACGTATTTACAGGACTAGAGTAACTTACTTAAAATCTCAGCTGCCTGCACGACGATGATCACGGTTGCCGCGGCGACCGAGGATCATCGATCGCCGCGTTCTCCCTCTCCCTTTCACGAGGCAGGCTGAGAATTATGAGCATTAACGCGTGCGTCGCTTTACAAACTACGCTTGAAATCTTAAATGCTACGCGATTAGTGCCCACGAACTCTCCTACGATAGGGATTTTGCTTATCGACGAATCTTTTTCTCTCTCTCTCTCTCTCTCTCTCTCTATGTCTCTAATTAACACTACGTATTCTATGGAGCACCATCGGAACACCCCTTAACACATATCGCCCCGCTGATGCGCCTTTTATGCCTTACTATGATTCGAATCGTACACCTTGATATATCTCTCATCGTCTGGGCTCGATATCCGTCTCTCCTAGCCGTTAAGATACATTTCGATCATTTCTTAATTCGCCTAAACGATATTTGTTAGCCTTCTCGGTAGAGCAAGTGTGTCTTAAGCCGCCTAGCATCATCCGCCCGAGACTTAATTAACAAGCTTTCGAGAACGCTCACTCTCTTAACCGTGCGTGTATCTTCGCGCAACAAGTGTCGCAAAATCATTATTGATCTAGAAATTTTTATTAGCTGACAAGTGATAGGTAAGTTACTTGCAGGAAAAGTGTTCGATAAAGAGCGAATTCTGTATCGCGACATTAGGCATAAAACGTCCGAGAATAATATTGAAAACGTACTCATTATTTTCTTCTTCATGTTTCTTCGATGTTAATCTAATCCGAACCAAAACTCGCGAGAGGAAATGCGTGTGTGAAAACTTGAAACCAAGTAGTCGACTGCGGTTGACGCCGGGTGGCGGTCAGCTTGAGTTGGCGATCGCACCGAAAAACTTAACTATTTCGCGCAATTTCGCAACCATCCGTCCTCTCGCGCATAAATGCGACACAAACAAGTACAAGTCGCACGCGTTCACCGGCACGAAAAGTCGCGTTTCGCACCAAAAGGATCGATTTCTCGAGCATACCTTGCACTGCTCTTAGTTGTCTACGACTACAGTCGTCCCTACATTCTTGGACCCTTCTTTTTCTTTTTTTAACAGCCTGTATGCGTCATCAAGTTTAGGATCGATGATACATATATATATATATATATATATATATATGATGATTCTGATGATGATGATGATGATATATATATGATATATCTCATATATATATCATATATATATATATATATATATATATGATGATTTTGATGATGATGATGATGATATATATGTGATATATCTCATATATATATCATATATATAGGTGTATATATATATATATATATATATACACCTATATATATGATATATATATGAGATATATCACATATATATCATCATCATCATCATCAAAATCATCATATATATATATATATATATATATATGATATATATATGAGATATATCATATATATATCATCATCATCATCATCAGAATCATCATATATATATATATATATATATATATA